AAGCCAAATTTACGTTCTTGCATTATTTTCCCATTTCCTTTCCTTTTTATTTTCATTTGTATCGCTTTATTTGTTCCTGTACCTTTTAATTCTCGCCAAAGTAGAATCCTGCCGACATTGTGGAGGACTACTCAAGGATTCGAGATCAGTACGATTTACAGGTTTTTATTAATTGAATTACTATTTTATTTATGTCAATATGCATGTTTCATTATTTTGTTGTTTATGTTTATTTTCATTTACGTTAATTATCATGTCTAGCTAAATTAGTTTTATCGGTATTTTCATTTACATTGCAATTTAATTTATTTATAATGTTTATTTATTTTTCTGCCATGAGTACATTATTATTAAATTCCCTGTCTCTGTCTGGTTCAACATCGATGAGTAGCTAAAAACCTTAGGGCGGTATGTAGTTATAACAAACTTAACCGGTGAAATATAACCATAGGCTAAAATAATTAATCACTTAATATTCTGGCTGATACTTTTTAATTGAAATAGACCTTTTCGTTACGAGAGTAAGAAAAGAGTATTAGGTTGGGTCAAGACCACGAGAGTGTGAGATTTTAACCAGATAGCTAAAGTTAGGCATTTAAATTAAATACAGCGAGAGCGCTTTAAGATAAATTAGAATTATTTAGTTTCCAAAAATTATCTCTAAACACTTATGGGCTAGCGAGAGCAGGCATAGGGCTTTGGGGATAAGATCTGATATAAGACCACGAGAGTGTGAGTTGAGGGTATTTAAACTGGTATTCTCTACCGAATAGATTAAGTGAACACCTTTATAAGCCTAGGTTAGATTGACCCACCTAAGTTAGTGTAATTACATACCGACCGCCTTAATATTATTTTATTAAAACTTAAATTTAATTCCGCCTTTAATAGTCTTAGAAACCAACAAAAATCGTGACAACCATTCGCCTTAGCTTTACGCCGTAACAATAGATAACGGTAGATTGACATTGGTCTCTGTGGGTTCGACAATCTTTTATATTACTTCGATAGGCTGTGCACTTGCAGTAAGATACCGCTAGACGCATAAGTAGACACGTCTTTAGCCCATTAGCTGCTACTGCTATGGCCTAAATGCTGCTACTGATATGATATGTGTTGTTATGTACTGCTGTTTGATGTGTTGTTATATGCTGTTATTTCAGGGATTGGTACCAGCTATTCTTGAGACAAGCCAACATGTTGAACACATACTATGTGTTAAACACTTGTATGGCAATTGGAGAAAGAAATATCCTGGGACATTTATGAAGGAGGCTTTATGGCGGGCAGCTAGAGCCACAATAATTCCTGCATGGGAAAGAGTAATGAATCATATGAAAGAGCTCAATGTCAATGCTTGGAAAGACATGATGGATGTCCCAGCTGCATGTTGGACTCGGTCTCATTTCAAAACAGACATACAATGTGATTTGCAAGTCAACAATATGTGTGAGGCTTTTAATCGTGCAATCTTGGAGTATAGAGATAAGCCGATCATTTCACTACTTAAAGGAATCAAACGTTACATAACAGTGAGAATCTCTGCTCAAAAGGATAAATTAAGTAGGTACACAGGTGTTACAAGTCCTAACATTAAAAAAGTATTGGAAAAAACAAAGAGGGCAGCAGAAGGATGGATTGCAACATGGCATACAGATGATGACTTTGCTATATTCAGAGTTTCAGACGGTGTTGAGACATATGCTTTGAACTTGCTTCAACAGAAATGTGGTTGTAGAAAGTGGGATTTAAGTGGAATACCATGTTGTCATGCTATTGCATGCATATGGTATAACAAGAAGGATCCCGAAGAGTACGTTTCATCATTCTATAAGTATCACCTACTTGTATATTATATTCATTTACATTCATCTTTTTTGTACATTTACTAAAATCATTGTGTCATATTGTCTAGGAAATCTATTGTTCTGGCTACTTATAGCCATATTATTATGCCAACCAATGGCCCACAACTATGGTCTGTTAATGTTGCTAACCCAATCAGCCCTCCAGTCATGCAAAGATCTATCGATCGTCCTAAGAAGAATTGTAACAAGGCGAATGATGAACCGAGGATAAGAAATACATTGCCTAGAACTCTTCAAACTGTCAAGTGCAAGAAATGTGGGAGTTTTGGCCATAACAAATGAACATGTAAAGGGAAGCGAGCTGTGGAGAGAGCGATTCCTAAAGGTGGCAACAAAAAATCTAAAAAAAAGGGTGACAAGTCGGGCAAGGAAGCGGGACAAACTGTTATAGACGGAGGGTCGCAAGCACCGCCACCAACCTAAGAATAGTTCTATGTTTTACTTTACTTTTTGTGATGCTGCTATAGCATATGTTATGACCAAAAAACTCAAGGTCTTTTTGTTAAAATATGTTGTCTTTAATGCTGCCTTCAATGTAATGATACATCAGTCTTGATACATCAGCCTTCAATGTTATGTTATGTAGTGCTGTTATATAATGTTGTTGTTTGATATACATCAGTTTATTATTACAATGTAGTGTTGTTTATACATCAGTTTATTATTAGAATGCATTGCTGTTATGATACATCAGTGTTCAAAGTAATGCTTCCTGTTATGTAGTTCTTTTAAGGTTTCAATTTTTGACAGCACTGAACTAAAATGGCTGTTATGTAATATTTATTCAGAAGCTTGTCAGGATTCGTAATACATAACTGTTGGTTTCAAAATACAGAAGATGATAGTTTTGACAGGTTTCAAAATAAACTGCATTGTATGTAACCCAATTATAGTTTTGACAGCACTTAAATAAATTGCCTGTTATGTAACCCAATTATAAGTTAACATGTTTCAAAATACAGAAGATGATAAACTGCCTGTTATGTAACCTGTTATGTAACCCAAAACAACTTATCCAATAAGGCCAATTTATTAACGTAACAAAGAGATTTATAAGACCCTGTTATGTAACCCAACACAAATCTGTTTCAATCATTTTCATCTTTGCAAAAGCACTACTAAAATCTGTTTCAAACTGTTTGCACATAAAATTTGTTTCCAATTTACTTTAGCTATTACATGATGTGTTCCCTAATTTCCCTATTAATTTAGAACTTGTATTCAGTCATTTTGTATCATACTATTTATCAAGTTATTCTGCATAAACAAGGTTATGATGCTCTTCATTTGAGATATTATGCAACTACTTTAATATTATGCTGCATAATACAAGGTTATGCTACATAAACACCATTTGAAGACAATCAAAGTAACTACAACATAACTCTTCATTAACACAGACAATCATAACTCTTCTTTTAAAATTAATTCATTTCAAAACTACATAAACATCAAAGTAACTAAAACATTTAACATTACATCATTTGAGTACATGTGTTGCAACTAATGCAAACACAATTAAAAAGACAAACATCAAAGATAACCCCACAAAATAATACATAAACCTAATTTTCATCTTCAACAAATCTTCATTTTTCTTGATGTCCTTAATCAAATCCATAAGCTCCTCATTCTTGTCTTTCAAAGATCTTATCACATTTTTAGCACGACTGCTCATGTCTTCATTAACCCACTGAAAGTAATTACATCCTTTTTTTCCTCATCACCTTAAAATTACCACAACCATGAAATCTTCTTCCGGGATTATCGTATGTCCATGACGTCATCAACGGTGACTTAAGCTCACACCAACATCTATTACCTCTTCTTCTTATACCAGACCCATATTGGTTTGTTGAGGAAAAAGAAAAATTCGTTTCGGACATGTTGGTAAGTAGGAGGCACGTTGGGTTCGAAATTAATGGCTAGAGAATGGCTGGTATGAGTTTGTTGAGGAAATGAGGACCGAGTTTGAAGAAATGGCTACATAAATGGCTGAAGAAATGAGTTGTTCTTCGTGAAAAAAATAGGGGTTGATGAATGGTTGAAGAAATGGGTTGAAGATGAAAGAGCTGGGGTTTTACATTTAAGTTTTATTTTATTAATTTTCTAAAAATGAAATAAAAAACCACATTAATGACATGGAAATGATATTAAAACTAAAAAGACCATTTTAACTGACATGTCATTCAACGCGTCACCTCATTAAAAACATGACTTAAAATGGCAAAGAGACTAATATCACTCTTGAAACCTAAAAAAGGGACCAAAATCGTGGTTTTTAAAATGGGGGGATCAAAACCCAAAAAAACACAAAATAGGGGGACCAAAATTGTAATTAAGCCAACTAAAAAAGGTTGAAAAGTAAATTTTGTGTATGATATATTTCATTTTAGAATTTAATTGACAACATCAAAATCACTGATTTATATGAAAAATTTGACTTTTATTTTAATTATTTAGAAAATAATACAAAGGGATGGTTGTGATGCATTGACAATGTAAATTTTTTTACAATAATAGAGCATAACAATTAATCTCTTTTTCAATTCTTTTGTTTCATTTTAATAATATTTATATTATTAAAACTTATTAAAATTTTTATTTTCCTATGTAATTTCTTTACAATTAATTTGGTATCTATCATGCGACAATGAATTAATTCATTTAAACTAATTTTAACATAGATTAAAATATGACAATTATTAATTCTTCATTAAAAAGTATATTGATTCATTTAAACTAATTTCCAATCAAAACAAATATCAATTATTATCTATTTTAATTTTGGTAGAAGGGTTTCTATATATTCTAAGTAGCTCTCAATCCATGCAATTCTATCAAATAACATTTATTTTATTTCCCCTGATTTTATGCCTAAGATCTTGTGTGAAAAAAGATTTTTCTCATGATTTTTCGTTGAAAAAAAGATTTAAACTTAAACTTTGTTTGTTATTTTGTTCTAAAAATTAGGTATTTCCTTAGTCAAAATATTTTGCTCTTACTTAGTAGTCCTATAAAGTTTGGCCGTCACTATATTTCCTCATCGATTCACAATTGTAACCTACCTCTTTCCTATTTTCTTCACCATTAGTCTTTACTAATTGATTTTCAATATTCAATTTCTTGTCAATGAGGTTAGCCGATTGGGGAAATTTGGAAGAGCTTCCTCTAAATTTGATTTTTAATAAGATGGGAGAGCTTATAGATCACATATATTTCAGCATGGTATGCAAGAATTGGTATTCTATTGCAAAGTTCAATTATCAAAATCTTCAAATAAAAAACAATGGCTTACCAATGTTATTGCAAAGATTTTTATATGGAATTTCGCCCGAAACAATTTACCCCTTCAAGGTGCCAATTCCTTCTAAGGAAAGACTTTGCGGTTCGAGTCATGGTTGGCTAGCGAAATCGATTTCCGAAGATGGAACTGTAACCCTAATGAATCCCTTCAAAAATCGAGTTTCCATCCATTTACCTCCAATCTATAAGTCACGGGATATAAATAGTCGGGTCAGATACAATGCATGTAATGTTCATAAAGTTATTTTATCGGCCAATCCTACAATTAGGCCACACGATTATGTTGTTGTAGCAATTTACGACATAGGTAAAGGTAAAGCTCTTGCTTTCATAAAAGCTGGACAAAATTTTTGGACTCACGTTGAGGAAGCTTATTCTGGGTTTACTGATGTTATCTTTTATAAAGATCTAGTTTACGCCGTGGGACTTAAAAATAACGTCATCTATTTCAATATTTATAATTCCAAGAATTCTCTCTATTATAGAAAGTTTATTTTCTATGTTGCTTCTTCCCCAGAAGTTGATTTTGCTCATCGAGCATATTTTGTGATATCATTAGAAGGAGACTTGTGGCTCGTAAAAAAGTTTAGTGGTTATGCTACAAACTTTGTTGTGTATAAGTTGGAATTGGATCTTCGAAATGGTAAACTTATACGAATGGTGAAGCTTGATAGTTTAGAGGACAATGTTTTATTTATAGGTAACTGCGATTCTATATCTATGTCGGCTTCCTCCTTTGCTAATTATCTACAAAAGGATTCAATATATTATGCAAAGGATGATTGCGAAAAAGATACAGATCAAGATCATTGTCCTTGTGTACAATTTGACATGGAAATCTATAATATAAAAGATGGAAGCTCTACTCAACATTGTCGTTCTCAACTTTGCTTCACACGAACGTCACCTTCACTATGGGTTCTTCCACCTTCAACTTGAAGAATGTTATTTTGTTTTATTTTAATAAACTTTTGTCTTTTCATATTTGTTTATTCAATTAGTATTGAGAGTTTATGCAATACAATTGAAAGTTACGTTTTACAATTCATTGTGTTCAATGAATGTCTGTTGTGCAATCAATCTTAGTAGAGTTACTGTTGAACAATTTATTGTGTTCAATGAATGTCTGTTGTGGAATCAATTTTAGTAGAGTTACTATTGAAATGAGTTTGTTTTTTATTTATTTATTTATTATATAGTTTAGGAATTTTAATTCACCTTTTTAATTGTCATATAATTTAATAATTAAAATGCACTTTAAAAAAAAATTCAAATATTAGGGTTCGAATCCTCTCTATATCAATAGTTCAGAGTGTTGCTTCAATAAGTATGCCGTTAAAATAGAAAAGAACAAATAACATCTTGTTTAGTACTAGGATTTGTCTCGGTTATATATATTTATGATTTAATTTTAATAAGTTATTAATTTTGACTTTTTTTTAAAATTAAAATTATCATCTTGTAAATATATGATAACAAACAACACATATTTACTTTCTATGATTTAATTGATAAACAATATCAGTGTAACGCTTTTTATAGGGTCAATCAATTATAACGATTAGACATGATAAAACATATTTGACTGTAACGTTTTTTCTTTTAAATCTAGTTTACATTTATCAAAGAATCTTTTCAATTAAGATTGTGATATGGCTCTGCTAGGTGTTCGCTGTGTTTTCTGGCGAACAACCTCTGGTTAACCAATTTCTTCAGAAAGTTGGGTTACTTGCAGGACCAACCATACAAGTCCTAGGATACATGTGCATTTGGTTCTGTCGAAATACTCTTAGACTTTTGGTGACTAATTTGTGGTTTGTTTTATCAATATTGTCAAAGTATTAAGGACTTTGATTTTGCAAGTAAAGAAGTTTGAACTTAAAGGTGAAATAAGGTTAAAAGTTTAAACAAGAACAAAGAAATGTCGAAAGGCTAAAAACTTGCAGAAAAGTAAATGAAATGTAAAATGACATGAACTTGAAGAATAAACAAGTAATGAACTTGAAGAATAAACAAGTAATTTAAAATGACTTTGAAATATAACTGGTGTTTTAAACGTACATTGTTCCAAATACTAGACTCATTTTCTCTCACACTGGGTACTTAGAGCTTTTACAGGAATTTTGTACAAATTTTCACACACACATTCTAACCACAAACTATCCTATTTATACACAAACAAAATAACTGCTTAGAACGGAAAAACTATAACTAAACGACAGGTGTCAGCCTGCATGTAAATTTCTTCTCTGAAACCTCCATGTGTCCAACTGCCAAAGGTTACAACCTTTGAATTTGAATCTCTTCCTTGGTGACGAAACCTTGTAACTCTTCAAAACTGTCGAAACCCTTTTAAAGGAGAAAAAACTCTTCAGTACTTGCCAAACCTTATCTTTTATTAACAAACTTCTTCTGTCGAAGCCCTCAGTCACAAATTCTCCAAACTATTCTGCCAGAACATTATATCTATTTCTGTCGAAACAATGAAACTTTAAAACCTTGTCAGCAATTCTTGGATTCTCCTCCTGTCGCTATCCTTCGACAAAGATGACCTTAAAGCCTGAATTTTAATATTGTCGAAATTATGGTCTTGTCGAAATTATGGGTTTACAAATTGCCCCCCAGCAAAGATATTTTCGACTATCAAAGGAGAAATGTCTTTTGCTGTCGAAGTGACCTTTGACTTCCAGTTGCATTTATTGTGAAATGACTCTTTTTTTTTTTATTGAGTCCCAAGGAAACACAATGATTTTCACTTTATGAAACGTCACATCTAGCCCACGTTTCACACAATCTCCCATGACCCTATATTGTAGGTACATCATGGCTCACTACCAACCGCCACTTTCAATCTCCACCAATGGATTAACATGCATGTTTCCCTTTTCCCAACTGAAAAAATCTTTTCATTTTCTTTTTTTTTCTCATTTATTTCAAACTCTATAAATACCACTTTCAATAACATTTCACACTTTCCATTCTCTCTAATCTTCTCTTACCCAAGCGTGAAAACTCCATTTCCAAGTCTTTCAGAGCTCTAGTTTCTTCACCATCTTTAACAAATCAATGGCTCCTCCCAAGACTACCACTGGACAAAGTGCAAAGAAGACAAAGAAAACCAAGGATCTTCCTCCTGCTCACGTATTATCTGGGCCTACCCAAACTCAGCATCAACAGTACTTCCCAGAACCCCCAAATGAAAGGGAAAAGGCGAGCATTTACAGGTCACAGGTAATAATTCCTATCTCTGTTTCTGGAATCCATCATGCTATGTTAGGCCCCATTTTTGATCCTACTATGGACCCTAACCGCTTAAAAGAATTTTACCCTTGCTATTCTGCTTCCAAACCCATAGCTGCTAATAAAAACCCTAAACCTGTCGAAACCTCATCAAAAGAACCTGAAGTCCTTATGGCTTCGACAGAGATAGATCTGTCTTATCTAAATCAAAATAGGATTTTTAGGAGTCCCCCTTTGACAAAGGATCCCTCTGAGTACCAAACATGGTTAACTAGGGTTGAAAAAGCCAAAGAAAAATTTTGGAAGAAAACTGGAATTTATAACTTAATCCAGTTGTCGAAAGAAGGTCCCCGTTATTGCCAAAACATGCTGTTGGCCTCCTTGTACTTTTGGGATAGTACTTACAACACTTTCCACTTACCCTGTGGAATGATGACTCCCACCCTATTCGACATAGCAGCCATAACTGGCCTTAGTCCTTTAGGGGAAATATTTAACCCTGAACATCTGAACAAGGATCCCATAGGCTTCGACACCAAGCATGCTGGGTATTCTGTTTTCATAGCCCATCACCAAGGTGAAAGCCATGAAGAAGTCTCTGATGAAGAGCACATTGCCTTTCTCAGCCTATGGTTGTCCAAATTTGTCTTTTGTACAAGGTCCCTTCAGGTGGCTAGAAGTTTCATCATTATGGCTAATCAGCTTCATAATGGAGTTGCATTCTGCCTGAGTGAGTTGCTTCTAGCAAACCTTTATGAATCTCTAAGTGAAAGTGTCAGCAATCTCAAATCCCTCAAAGAAAAGGGTAACATCAGTCTCACAGGCCCCTTTTGGCTTCTACAACTATGGCTGAATGCCACTTTTGAAAACTTCATCCCTAACAAAATGCCTGTTGTCGAAGAAACAGTCAAAGAAAGGCGTGTCGAATGGCCTAGGCTGGTTCAACTGACCCCCACTGATGAGAATGTAAGCCTTCAACAAGCATTTATTGGCTACATCATGATGTTCGCCAAACGCTATAAATTTTCTCCTTCAATGGCACCCTTCGCCAATAGACAAGTAGGTCCAAGATGGTTCACCAGAAGACTCCCAGTGGAGGACCAGAAAGATGAAGACTCTTACATCTCCATTTGGGAAGCTTTTCTTATGCCTAGACACTTCTTTTCTCATCATAGCCTCAACAATACAAAGGTATCTCTCATTGTATACCAACCCAATCTGGTAGCCAGGCAGTTTGGATTAATCCAGACGAAGACAAAGCCCATCTACCACAAGAAAGGTGCTATCATTTTCTACAACTCATTTCACCATTTCGACAAGAGCTTAGAACTGTACAACAAATATTTCGACCCAACTCTGGAGGTCTATCCCACCATCTTTATACCAAACTTCCTCTGCACTGAAGAGTTCGACGTTTGGTGGAAGGAATACTACATCAACAACTTTTTCGACGTAGCAACTTTCAATGCTCTTCTGACAAATGCTTTTACCTTTGTGCAGGACAAGAAGAAAAAAGGTACAGACCAACATATAAAAGAAATTCAAAAGTTTCAAAAGTATTTTGAAACTATTTACAGGCCTGATGATCTTCGTCGAACCATAGCTGAAGCAGCAAGATCTTTAAAATTCAAACTCACAGAGAAATTAAACCAATTGTGGTTTCCTTCATCCCTTCCACCACATGCACACTACGACTTTGCATTCACAACCTTTCCTCCAAAATTCCCTCCACTCCCTTCTGCAGAATTTGGGGTGGCCTTGTGTCCTCCGTTTCCAGATTGGTTTGTATGTGGATCAGACTTAAAACTGCTTCGTGAAAGAAACAAAAAACCTGCCAAACGCGTGGTTGCGACGAAGTATCATCTGCACAACTTCACTGGGCACCTTCATATTGGGATTGAACACGTTACTATAGACGAACCCATTCTTGAAGGTGTCGAAGAGACCATATTTCTCTTTTTGTTTCTAACTCCTTTTATTATTATATCAATGTTCATGCAACTTTTCTTTTTCAGCTGTTAGAATTGTCAGGAAGACTACTGGCGAAGGAACTTCTTCAAAAACAGTCGAAAAAACCCCTTCAACGACAAAAAAGGTTTCGACACAAACAGAACATCCCTCCTTATTTGTATACTTCATATTTTCTTATACTAAACACTTCTTCTCTTTCTCTTATAGGTAACTCGTACCCCAGCAAAGAAAAGGAAAACAGAAGAAAAAGAAACAAGCGTCGAAGAATCCGAGGACGAATCCCCTGAACCCCAGCCTTTGAAAAGAAACAAAGGTTTAAAAATTAAAACAGTGGCGTCCCAAAGATCTCTGGTCCCAAGACGAACCCCACCTGCCAGTCCGGTCAACAAAGTTCCTTCAAGGAGCGAAAGAAGTGGGGACTCAAGTGCCCATACTGAAATTCCTCAGGTAATCATTTCGACAATCACCAATCCAGCCTTGACTGAATGTATCTTTATCTTCAAGTTCTTCTTTTGTGTTTTTTGCTTGTAGGTTGTTATTGATGTCGAAGAGACCTCTGCAATCCAAGAAGAGCATGCTCCCTCTAATTCTGAGAGGACTCTGGCTGAAAGACTCCGGGATGATGCCACTCCAGATGCAGGGATCCATGGGCCTCAAACCTTGGATGAATTCGACCTTAGTGACTCTGAGTCTTCCGACAACAACTCTCCCTTTCGACCAGACCCCAC